CACTTAAAAGAAAAAAAAAAAGATTTGCATTTTTCTCAAGCTCAACTCACCAAGTGAATGAAGTGCCTAATATCATCCAACCAGAATATTTAGATAAGTCTAGAAGAGATTTCATTGTGTGCCTTTACTTTGTCTGTCTCCCAGAGATTACATCAGAGGGGAGAATGCTGGTTTAGAGGAATAGACTAATGACTAATTTGCATTTGTGGGTTTTCCCTAAAGAAAACAAGAATTAACAGGACAACGTGAAACTGTGCGAGATTCGCTCAAGTACAAACTGAGGTCAGAAGCAGACACAGAATGTGCCTGTAATGACAGCCATGGGACACTTTCATCACTTCACAAGGTGCCACGGCTTTGGAGGGTGTGGTGAGGATAGAATCCCTGCCCATGTTTCATTTGTGTTGGACCAGAAGCCTCAGCTGGCTGGAGGGAAGAACTCGGGACAGGCCTGGGCAGGAGGCTCTCTCTAGTTACGGGCAGTGTGCCTGTGAGCGGGATTATACCTGTACAGGACGGTCCTCATGTTTTGATCAACGTGTAAAATGTATTTTGCTACAGTTGAGCGTCTCCCTGCTGTGGCAATATCTGGAAGATGGTGTGCATCGCATTATTGACCTAAGTGGACATGTTCGGAGCAAGCTTAGCATTATGTCAGATCGGGATCAAAGAGACAGTGTGTGATTATTTATTCATTCATCCGTTACTTTGTTTATTCAGCAGATATTGAGCACCTGCCATGTTCTAGGCATCAGCACTGTAGTAGGGAAAACAAGCAATGCCTTTACCCTTGTGAAGTTTATATTGTACAGGAGAAGATTGGCATTAATTAAATTGTTTAAATAAATATACAAGATATTTACACAGTTGTGCATTGTGAGGGCAGTGAGGGGAGTAAAGAGGAGAGAAGATCTACCCCATCAGAGAAGATCCGTCTGATGATGTCACACTTGTACTAAGACATCCCATATGCATTAATCAGCCGGTGTCAAAGACAGGGAAATATACTAGGCAGAGGGAACAGAAGACAACAAAAGGATTGGCATGTTTGGGCAGCAGAAGGGAGGGAAAGCAAGGGAAAGAGTAGTATGATATGACATTGGACAGTTTGGGTGGGGGCCAGACCATGCAGGACCTGGCCACCATCATTTTCACCTGACGCTGAAATAGCAGCACTAAGAAAGGACAGTGGCTTGGACTAGAGTCAACGCAATGAGAACAAGAAAGCTGGAGGGGTTTAAGATGTACCTTAAAGGTAAGAGTGGCAGAACTTAATGCAGGACTGAATGTTAGGAATGAGGAAAAGAAAAGAAGAAAAACAAGGATGACTCCTAGCTTGAGTAACTGGATTGTGGTGCCATTTTCTGCGGCTTGAAAGTTAAATAACTTGCTAGACCTCACTCGATTAGGACATTGAAGTCTAGTCTGTGTGAATTTGCTTTTTTTCATTTTTTTAATCTGTGAAGTGAGGTTAATAGGTTAAATTTCCAAGATATCTTCCAGATTTGCAATTACATTCTCTTCTAGACTAAATTGTTAATATAGAAACATCCTGAGGTATTAAGTAATATTGTCAGACCCTGGCATGTGACAAATAGTACAATTATGGAATAACTCTTTTATATCAAAACTTGTGGCCAAAATTTGGGGGGGTGTTTTTTTCTCATGCAAGCAAAAGAAAAGGTGATTTTGTCCATTTTCTCTTGGACATGATGTTTTTCTGGAGTCTTTCAGCAACAAGGTAGTTTGTTCTGTAAAGTAAGATTACATTATAGACTCTCTCTTGCAACCCCAAACTACAACTGCAAGGCACAAACGATAAATTGCCTACAGTGAAGCAGTTTTTGAAGATTATGCTTGGGCCGCCACCCAGGATATAGGCAGGTTTCTATAGAGAGGGAAAGGTGACATTTCAGTGATCCTAAAAACTGCCTGCAGCTCTAATCCACCATCTGGGGCTCACCTGTTTTGGCCAGGTCTAAGATTCTATTGTTAACAAAGGCAGTCCCAGCTGTCTCAAAGCAATAAATTTCTGAAATACATGTCATGAGATAGATCGTTTTTACCCACGGAACAATGGAATTGTGTCCTTGACAAAGGAATTGGCAGGCCAGGAATCTTAGGTATATGCAACAACATGTGAGTAAAGCAAAGCAGATACTCTAAATCCACCCAAAGACCCCCTTATTGGACTATAAGCCCCTGAACCAGTTAGGATGCTACAAGGAGCAGAAAAATCCAGCTTAAAAAGCCATGAGCAGTAAAGATATTTAATGTCTCACAGAACAAGCCCTTTTCAGGCTGGTTCAGCCATTCCGTGATATCTTAGGGACTCAGGCTCTTTACCTCTCTGCTCTACCTGCAGCAGAGTGCCTTGACCCGGAGGCATATTGCCTCATATTTCAAGATGGCTGCCACAGTTCTGGGAAACAGGTGAGCCAACACTGGACCAAAGAAGTGGGTCATTTTCTTCATTGTGTCTCCTTTAGTGAGAGAGAAAGCCTTTCCCAGAAGCCCCAAGCAGACATCCCCTTAAGTCCTTGTCTATGGAACACCCAGGTCTCCCCCCACCCACCGTCTAGAAGGTAGGACATTACCCGAGACTTGTTCCCCTCTCCTTTATTTCCTTCACTCTCTGTGACCTCTCCATTTCGGCTTTAAATAATCTGTCTCCTACCCTCTATCTCTATGTTTACTACATTAATTCAGATCTTCATTATCTCTATCTTTCTCCCTGGTTCCACTTTATCTTCCATATTGCCACTGGAACGATCTTTTAGAACACATATCTCACCATGACACTATCCTGCTTAAAACCCTTCCGTGATTCTTAATCACATACGCGATTACATTGCAATTTTTTTTCTAGCTGTAGGAATGACTTCTCCCCTCTTTTATTAAAAAAAAAGACTTATGTGGCAGCACAGTACAGCTAACAGATGGGTGTAGACCTGCTGTGCTGAAATGGGGTGGGGAAAGGGCCCAGAGCCAGGTGGATCCCTCTGGTCTTCTCAAAGGGACGCCGCAGAGCCCTTCCCTGGATCCCCGGCAGTACAGGAAAATCGAAACACCTCCACGCCAGTTGACATGGACCTCAGGAGTGTCAACCAGGCTAGCAGCACAGGCTTGGATGGTAGTGGAGCCCAGGGTCAGGAACGTGGTCTCTCAGAGTGTGCAGAGTGAGAAGGAAAGAGGTGAAGAGGGCCAAAGAGACAACTCGAAGAGGTCTATGAACGCACTGCCCCCAAGCCATGCAATATCCAATAAAGTTTCTATTTCACCTTCAGACTTTACGAATGTGCCTTATAGTCTCTGATTGTGTTAGATAAGTTAACCTAATCAGATGCTTGAGGACAAAGTGAGAATGTTTGAAAACCAAAAGGCAACTAAGCAAAAACTGAGAATAACAATCTCTGATGGTATGAATGGTTTTTGTGTTTACGTTTTCATTTTTACAGTGTTTTTTAAAGGTAAAAGATTTGCAATTTGCTTGAAATCCCTAAGATTAGACTTTTTTTTTCTTTCACAAAGCTTTTCATATCAGAAATCCTGAGTTGACCAATATTTCATGTATTTCCGTTGCCGATCAAGGCAGTTTTGAGTTAAATGGCTTAAGAATGGAATTTCAAACTGAACTATAATACCTGAATATGCTAAATATTCTAATTATTCTCCCTGCTCCTGATATTGACCTGTATTTATTCTTTGTGGCCACTTAAGAATTCAGTCTTGTTTATTGTTCTGTGAAGGCTAAAGAGCTGTTTAGGTGCAGTTTACATTCTGTTACAGAATAGGACCTTCTAAATGAGGAGGGAAATATTAATGAAGACACTGATGGATAATTTTCACAAGCAAAGGCGTTAACAGTTTCAAGCAACAGCTTAATGGGTCGTACATTTCAGCAGGCATTTGCATATTCAGTGACACTGTCAGGAGGGAGGCAGGACAGAGGAAACAGTCGGACAGAGGACACCAGGCAGGAAATAAGGCCAGGCTCCAGGGGGACCACACTGTCCATCTCTATTTGCTTTTATCCACTCTCATTTCAAGAGGGGTTTGAGAAGAGCTTGTCCTTTTGTGTCTTTTATAGGTTCCAGGCAAGCAGGTCGTCCGTCTGGCTCCCCTTCTGGCTCTGACCACCCCAACCCCCACCTCCCATCTACCTAGATCTCATTGCTGTCTTCACTGTAGGTTTTTCTGCTTCTGCTTTATAGTCTGCCCCCATCACACCCTGGAGCTGACCTGTTTCTGGCTGCCCATCTTTGCATCAGACTTTGTATAGGCAGCTCCTTCACGGCGCCATAGGATCAGGCTGTTGGTATCTGTCATTTACTGCCTCTTCCAGACCCTCCAGCCGAGGAGCTCACAAGACCCCCCTCCTCCCCACTTTCAACTGGGACTCCACAGAAATGAGGCACCAATGAGAAGCAAAAAAATATATATCAACTGCCAGAAGCTTCAGACTGATTTTGATTCTCTCCTAATCCTTTTAAATGTGATATGTGTTTATTTTATTTTATTTTTTTTTAAGATTTTATTTATTTATTTGAGAGACACAGCGAGAGAGGGAACACAAGCAAGGGGAGTGGGAGAGGGAGAAGCAGGCTCCCCGCAGAGCAGGGAGCCCGATGTGGGACTCGATCCCAGGACCCTGGGATCATGACCTGAGCCGAAGGCAGTCGCTTAACCGACTGAGCCACCCAGGCGCCCTAAATGTGATATGTATTTAAATTAAGAGGAGCAGAAACAAAAATGATTTGGGAAAATGATAATGTTATCCTAGCCTATTTCAGTAACATTCTAACATGGTTAAGAAAACTGCCTGTCAGATTTGATCAGTGTTGTTGAAGTGAACAGCCATCATTCTCAGGAGTGTCTGGAGTTAAATTCTCACCCAGCAGGAGCAGTTTTAATGACCGAAGAATCCAGTAACAACAAGAAATAGCTGAATCTCAACGCACCGCTGACCTCTTACAATGCCTCTCTCCTCCGTTTCCCAGGTACAACGTGTCTGATTGCTCTACTATCAGATAAGGACCTCACGGTAGCCAATGTGGGTGACTCGAGAGGGGTCCTGTGTGACAAGGACGGGAACGCCATTCCTCTGTCTCATGATCACAAGCCTTACCAACTGAAGGAGAGAAAGAGGATAAAGAGAGCTGGTGAGCTTGTGAACACCTCCAAGTACTGTCTGCCATCCTGTCCGGTGAACAGGGTGGCTTGCTTGGACTGCCTGTGGGGGATAAGATATTCAGTTACCCCGTGACTAGTAGATCAGCACAGAGGCTGCTGCTGAGGTAGCTGAGACTTGACTTTGTGACATTTCTTGGCAAATAAATGGCCACCGAACTTGCCCTCCTCGTGGCCAAAGATTCCAAAAGAGCCCCCCAAAAAGCCCTTTCCTAGTTTAAAGGCTAATGAGATCTTTGGGCTCCTGCTTGCCTTACCCTGCTTCCCTCCAGCCACACCAAACTAACCGTTCCCCAAGTGAGTCATGTTTCTGCTAGCTCTGTACCTTGGCAAGTGCCAGCCCCACCAGCCAGTGGATAACAATTACTTGTCCTTTAAGACCCAGTTTAAGGGTATCCTTTTGGTAAGCCTTCCCTGTCACTGCACCAAAGGCTCCCCCAGTCTAGGTTAGGTGCCCTTTCATTTTCCCAATATCCTATTTGGGTAACCTATTGGGTTACCTTTCACAATATGGACATACCTGGCTCTCTTATCTGTTCTGCCTTCCTGATTGTGAGCTCTTTGAGGGCAGGAATTCGGTCTTGTTCCTCTCTATACTCCCAGCATCTAGCTCAGTGCCTGGCACAAGTAAATATTCTGGGGTTGGGAGGCAGGCTCTTTTCATTTTTTTTTTCAACATCTAGAGACTGGGGATACAAACTTACATTCTGGAATTGGGATGGGATGGGGAATGTTAACAATAAATAAGTAAAAATAAGTAAATTATCTAGTGTATTATAAAGTGATAACTATTATGAAGAGACATAAAGCAGGCAAGGGAATGGGGAGTATCGGGGGTGGTCACTACAGGCCTCACTAAGGTGATATTAGGACAAAGACTCGAAGGAAGATTATCAGTTGATGATTACATTTTCATGATTCACTTTGGGGGATTCTTTTCTACCCATGGAAAGGAGGACTCCCTCCCTCTCCAGACTGACAACTGCAGCATGTTGGCTCTGCACAATATGCCAGGCGGCAGGCCCAGCTGTCCAAGGGGAGCTCACGTACCCTGGGTCTCTAACCAGAATGGGCCCCTGCTGCCCAGGGTAAATGCAGTTGACTCTCTCTCTCTACAGGTCAGCCTCTGCCCGGAACCTAATCAACATTTGAGTTTTCACAGTAGGAAACTGTACTTTTGAGTCAAAAACTGTTGAAATGTATTACAACCTCCTGCTTCAGTAACTGCTTGAGATGCAGAATAATTTTTAATGAGAGCTTTAGTCAGGCTTTTTGTTGTGGGATGGAACAAACTATATTTTAGGAGTATCTATCAAGCTCTGATGAACTGCAAGCAGTCTGAGCAAATACTCTGGCTTCCTTACTTACAAAGACACCATTTCCCCATGAGTCTGCTGTGACCCTGGACTTAAGATTCAGTTAGCCTACTCCACGCAAGGATGTGTGTACGATACCTGGAAATGTCATCTTAGCATCCTGCGTGCCCTTCTGCAATGGCATTTCCATTGTATCCTCTCTCCTCGTCCCTGCCATACCCCCCACCTGCACCCGCACCCTCCAGGGATGCTTTATAGAGGCCAGTTTGGACACTGTCTCCAAGAAGGTTAATCTAACCTGTGTCAAGGGGTATTTTATAGCAAGGCTTAAGGGACAGTGATTGATTTTATTACCTTTACGTGTATTTTCTCTGACCTCAGCCTTCCTTTCAGGACACCTTTCCCTGTCCTACTTAGCATAACAATACACTACAACCAGTCTGGGCCAAATACGAGTTGGTCCTTCTGTCTTCACTCCTTTTATTGTTTCCAAGAACAGCAACATCAGCTGCCATTTATTGTTTGCTCACTCTGTGCTGGGAGCCAAGCCTAGTTCTTTACATATGATTTCTCTTTACTAACCTTATGAGCTTGATAATGTTATCCTCATTTTACAACTGAGGAAGTAGACCCTCAAAGAGGCATGTGTGCCCAAGGACACACAGCTAGTGAATAGTGGGACGAGAATCGAGACCCAGGACACTGACTCTGGAGCCCATGCTCTTGCCTACTAGACCACACTTCCTGGAATGTTCTCATACGTAGAGGTCCTACCCATCGTTCAAAGCCTCGCTTTATTGCTCACTCTCCCTGATCATCACAACCAGGTATCATTGCTCCTCCTTCATCTGACTACAGCATTTAGCAGGTACTAGTTTCTTCTCGAAAGAATACTGCTTTGTGCTCATAGTTGTTAATACATGTAGCTTTTCCTTTCTGCTAGACTATCTGCTTCTTTAGAGAAAGGTCTGGATCTTGTATAAGTTTATAGCCTGCAAAATGCCTTGCATGGAGTATACATTTAATAGATATCTGACAAATAATATGTGAATGAACAAAGTCCTCGCTCCCTTAAAGAAAAAATAATAATAGACAATATTGAGTGCATGGAGTGCATGTGATACACAGGCACTATGCTAAGTGATTTATATGGAGTAACTCCTTTATTTCTCACAACTCAGTGGAATAGGTACTATTATTGTCCCCATTTTGTAGCCAGGGCAACCTAGAATCAGAAAGCTAGAGCTTCTCAACTGAAGTGACGAGCCAAGAATCAAATCTATGCAGTCCAACCCAAGAGCCTGAACCTTTCTCTACTGTGCTAAAATACACCCTTCTTTAATCCCGATCCTATTTGGAGAGCTGTTTTGAGATCTAGATGCACCCAGGGGCAGCCTAAAGCTAAATGAAGTAGCCCAGTGGTGTCTCTGGTTCCCGTCCTCATGCCTTTCAGCGCTCTTTGGCCATTGTCCTCGAATCCCTACCCTAGGGCTCCCTACTGTCAATCAAGGAGCCGTCAAGGTGTTGTTAAGTTAAAACCAATGCCCTCATCTACATGCATCTGCCTACCCTCACTATTTTTACTGATATATTCCTCAGAGCCTTTAAGATGAGGATCTCCTGGTAGAGTGTGAAACTTCAAGCCATGCGGCGGGAAGGCTACTCCTTCCTGGCAGTGCCCAGGGGAGGTGAGGGGGGCACATGCAGGAGATGAGCCTTGTGTACGTGCACCCAGACTCTCCCGTGTGTGTGAGATACCAGCTGCTCAAGCTAATGGGCTCATTCTGTCTTTGCAGGTGGTTTTATCAGTTTCAATGGCTCCTGGAGGGTCCAGGGAATCCTGGCCATGTCTCGGTCCCTGGGGGATTATCCGCTGAAAAATCTCAATGTGGTCATCCCAGACCCAGATATCCTGACCTTTGACCTGGACAAGCTCCAGCCCGAGTTCATGATCTTGGCATCAGATGGCCTCTGGGATGCTTTCAGCAACGAAGAAGCCGTTCGATTCATCAAGGAGCGCTTGGATGAACCTCACTTTGGGGCTAAGAGCATAGTTTTACAGTCATTTTACAGAGGCTGCCCTGACAATATAACGGTCATGGTGGTGAAGTTCAGGAATAGCAGCAAAACGGAAGAGCAGTGAACCCTTCTGGGTCTCGGCTGCCCTCGCCTAAAGGACTCTCAACACACTGGTCTCTTCTAATGTAGTGAAAGCGTGGGAGTTACAGTTAGGATCAGCCACCTAGACGTGGGATTCCCCTCCCTGGTGGGCATAGGTCTATATGCAGTAATGAACAGAGGGTGCTCTTGGCCCACATAGCTGAGAGGCTGGAAAATGGTTTCTTCATGTGTTCCCAATTCTTTCCTCCGATGTTCAAAATATATAAATATATAGCTGTAGATTCACAAGTATGACGTGAACGGCACATGTGCCATATATTCTCCCCTTTGGGATTCTTTTCAAGACCTCTTCCAGGATTCTCCAGGCATCAGACTCTGTCCTGTCTTTGGAGTGGTGCACAGAGCAGGCCTCCGGAGCTGCAGGGGACGGGCTGCCGCGGCCCCTGTGAGTCTGGGCGGACGGGCCGATGCCCGCTGCTGAGAGGCAGAGCTATCCTGAGAGGGCTTTGTCCTCCTGAGCCCAGCTTTTCTGCTCAGCAGCAGCCCAGACACAGATGTGAAATGGTTTATTATTTCGTGGCCGCTTTTGGAGACGGGGGGAAGGGGGGAGGATGAGAGCCGCCCGCACAGCACACATAACCTTTTCCCCTGGCTTCCTTTCTTACTTAAATAGACTCTGTGCCACCTGACCCGTCTCCGTGCGTTTATCCTAATCATGCATGACCTTAACCTTTTGCTTCTACCTTACTTTATGTAATAGGCAGCTGTGAAACCACCACCAGACACCACAATTTTTTGTCTTACCAAGAAACCTATTAGGGGAAATGAATAAAGCAAATCACAATACCATAATTTCTTCACTCTTTAAGGGTAGATGGAGGGAAATAGCGGCCAAATAAGTCACAGTGTCCCCTGGGAAATCTGCTGTTTGCGTTAGGAGAGAAAGCTGGGGAGGTCACCACCCTGAACTGAGCTCCAGCGGCCGTTTTTGTATGGGTTTTTTTCTTCTCTCTCTCCTGTCCCAGTAGCCTTCAAGTGTCTTTCAAGCGGTGTTCTGATCGGCACAGCCTTGAACTGCGTGTGTGTTCCTTGAAGCCGAGGACACAGTGCCCAGCGGAGCTGGGCATTTGGTGATAAAATGCTGGCGCGTGCTTCCCCTTGACAGTGGAGAGGCAGCTGCCTGTAACATTCGGTTGCAGATCACTGTCCACACCAGGTAGCTTTCCCCAGGCAAGCACAGCCC